CAGCAAGAGTATCCTGATCCAGAGCTACCTGAGGGTAAGAGGGAACTATACCTTGGAGGGTTCATTATTTCTCTCTCTTTTTCAGGAATTCAAATAATCTGAAGAGCTCTTCTTGTCTCCTTGTCCACAATGAACAGATATCTTCATTAGTCTATGCCTTAATTTTAGGAGTAGTTCTGGTCATAGTCAATGTAACTGTGGTCTTATATTTATAGTAGCAGACTTCTTTGTGTTGTGCTTGTCAGCATCACTGTGATTTAAAATCAAGATGATAGAAAATTTTCAGTACTTTAACATTTTATCTGACTGTAATAACCTAGTGCCATTAGCAAACTTCATTAGCTGGTGATTTCATTCATTTCCAAACAGTAATCAAAGTCAGAGATTTTTGCAATGGGCTGGTAGCTCTATTAAAGAAACTTTTGTTTTAAGGAGCTGGATTTTCTGGAATAAATGTTACCACATTTATTGTTACCACACATGCCTGTCTGTTACCGGGACAAGCATTCTTTATTGCAAATTGAGGAACACACTTAGACAGCATTTGGCCAAAGCTGTGTAAGTAGAACCTCCCTCCCTTCTTCCTCCCTTCCAAAAAAAACCCACCCCAACATCTGAAAAGGGTGGTATAAGCATCTCTAGATTTTCGTGGTAAAAATCTTCTAGTCTTGCAAGAATAGCTAATTCAATAATGTGCCCACCCTAATACACACATACACAGAAAGAGGGACATATTTTTCTATTTTCTATAACAGTTGATTCTATTCTGTGTTCATAGGGGATGGGTTACAGTAAGCATAGATACATGGCAATCCAATGAGTATAATTTACAACATGGCCTTTGTGTGAGGAAAATGAGCACTTACAGTATCCACATTTGTGTGTGCGTGAAGGAGTTAACATGCTTTTTAACCACGGCACATTTGTTATGTTGCTGTAAAACGGACTTTCATTTAATGACCTGGCTTAATACATAATTTTCAAATAGATGGCAAAGAGTAGGCATAGATTCTCTTGTGCCAAAAGACAAACTGGTTATGCTTATACTGAAGTCTCAAGTTAGTTTCTTTTGTCTGATCTATACAGTAAAAACCGGAACTTTTTTCCCCACTCTAAGAAGCACCTTAATAGCTTTGTTTCCTATCCACTACCTATTTCCCCACCTGCATGTGCTCACTGCCTCAGTTTCATGGTTTTGAAAGATCCCATCCCTGCACTGAATTACCTTAGCCTAAGTTTTGTAAACATCCCAGTAATTCTGTTTCTCTGGTCACCTGGTGCAGAAGGAGTCATTATAACCCTATGGGTGAAATATTGCCCAAAGTGTCCCCATATGGTGCTCGAAAAGAGTAGACACTGCACAAAGGAGTATCTTTAATATTTATTGTGGTAGGAACCTGCAGCATCTCTATGAGCTCTTTAAGGAGGCAGCTCCTGTCCCCTATGCTATGTAAAGTTAGACTAGACTAGACTTGACTACACTAGTTCAGTTGGAAGGGACCTACAACCATCACCTAGTCCAACTCCCTGACCACTTCAGGGCTCACCAAGCATATTATTAACAGCATTGTCCAAACACTGACAGGGATGAGGCATCAAACACCTCCCTAGGAATCCTGTTCCAGTGTTTGACCACCCTCTCAGTAAAGAAATGCTTCCTAATGTCCAGTCTAAACCTCCCCTGGCACAGCTTTGAACCATTCCCACATGTCCTATCACTGGATACTCAGGTGAAGAGATCAGCAACTCCCTCTCCACTTCCCCTTCTCAGGAAGTTGTAGAGAGCAATGAGGTCGCCCTTCAGCGTCTTTTTCTCCAAACTAGGTAAACCCAAAGTCCTTAGCTGCTCCTATAGGACATGCCTTCCAGCCCTTTCACCAGCTTTGTAACCCTCCTCCGGATGCATTTGAGTACCGTAAAATCCTTCTTCAATTGTGAGGCCCAGAACTGCACAGAGTACTCAAGGTGAGGCCACACCATTGCTAAATACAGTGAGATAATCACCTCTTTTGACCAGCTTAATCACCTCTTATGCTGATACAACACTGGCCAGGTTCAAGTCTAACTGAGCTTTGGCCTTTCGTGTCTTCTTCCTGCGTATACAAACCACAGCTCTGTAATCATCCTGTGAAGCCTGACCTTGCTTCCAGAGATCGTACATTTTCTTTTTCCTCTTGAGCTCCAGAAGGAGTTCCCTGTTCAGCCAAGCTGGCCGCTTGCCCTGCTTGCTTGACCTATGACACAGTGGAATTGCCTGCTCCTGTGCTTTTAAAAGGCGGTTCTTAAAACTGACCAGCACTTGTGGACTCCCAAGGCTTCAAAAGCAGATTCCCAGGGGCTACTGCTAAGTAGCTCCCTGAATAGCTTAAAGTTTGTTCTCTTGAAATCCAGAGTAGCAAGTTTGCTGTCCTTTCTTTCTCATTACTCTGAAAATTTTAAACTCAACCACTTCATGATCACTGTGGCCAAGACAGCCACCTACCATCACATCTCCCATGAGTCCTTCTCTATTGGCAAATAACAAGTCCAGCATCTTTCCTAGTTGGCTCACTGAGTACTTGTAGTTAGGTCAGTGGTATGGCAATATGGATTTGAGGTAAGCATCTTCTGGAGAACAGAACACACCTTCTAGTCATATTAGTGAAGTTGTATCCCTCTTGCCAGATTCTGTAGTCTCTCCTATTTGTTTTCTTTGTCCATGAGGAATGTATGGTTCTTGATTCTCCTGCCAGTGAGATGCTGCCCTTTTGCTATGTCTGCTTTTTCATTTTCAGAAAGTACAGTTAGGAAAACCGCCAACAAGCAGCCAGCTGGACTTCAACAAATACAACCTTTCAGAGAAGATGGAGCAGGCTAGCTTCCTTCAAGTTGTGGACAGGTGAGTGAACAGCACATTATAGTGATACTGTGGATGATTGTCTCAAAGAGCTCCCTGAGTCATGGCGGGACAAAATCAAGTGTTCTGTCACTAAAAAGTCTATACAGGTTGCTTGTGAGGAAGGGATACAGTTTTTTGCTATCTGAGTTAGCCTGCTTCTCCAAGAAAGATTTTTTCTAACACTACGTGTAGCTGTGTGTGTTTTCAACTAAGCTTGTTTTATATTTTATGTTTACCGCAATAATATCTCTCATGAGCAACTTTTAACTTTCCCACATTCAGGCAGGTGAAGACTTTGGCAGAGTCCCCTGAAGGGCAGGCTAAAAAGACAGAAGTTTCTCCTGTTGCACTGGACTTACAGAACTCATACCATGCTTTAAATGAGCCAGACCATGACCCAGTTGCCTGCTCAAGTCAGATTGCTGGTCATTCCTTTCCTGTTTCAAGGAGAAACAGTGTTGATGCAAGTATTGCTTCCCAGACAGCAATCCCTTGCTTTGCATTCAATGGTCCATACTTGTACAGCCCAGTGATGTCTTCCCAGCCTGATATGCATCGGACCCTGGCAGTGGACCCAGTGGGAGTCCATCAGAAATCAGCTTCCCTTCAGTATGTGACCCTCCCAAAGGAAGACTGTCCCCAAGCTCCACAGCAGCAAGAACAGCCAGGAGGAGGTCCTCCACAGCCCTTCCTGCTCCCAGAGCAGAAGCAAAAGATGCAGCACTTTGACAGCGAGAAAGAAGTCTCACCAGCCCCACCAGCCTGGGGGAAAGGCACGAACGGGAGAACAGAAGAGCAGAAATCTCCAAGGGCTCTTGGCTGTGTCACATCTCCTCAGCAGTGCCCCTTGGAGTACGTCACCACAGACAGCCTGTTACTGCCATCAGCCAGCGGCTGCACCCATCCACCACTTGTCACTGCGGGGGACTTGCCTTGTGACTCACAGGAGCCTCAGCCCCGCGGTGGCCACTCTTGCCATGAGTTTTCTCCTGGGAAAACTGGTGTCATGGTCCCAGTTTCAGGTCAAGCACCAACCTCTTCTCCTGAATTGCTCCTGGATACATTTGGAGACTACCTTACTGTCCCTTTAGGTCTCCATGGGCATTCAGAACCAACAAAGATTTCTTTGCCTGTCTTACAGAAAGGAAACGATCTTCCTAGAAAGCAGCCTTTGTCAGAGGGTGACTTGGTGGTGTTAAACCCTGACAGCACTGAGCCAGTCTTCCTTTGCCAGGTTGGTGACTATTGCTTCCACAGCCTAAAATCCAGTGTGAAGATGGATATTGGTCAGGAAGACCACCAAGTCAAGAAACCTTCTGAAGGCAAGACAACACCTGGGAAGCCTGTATCTGATGATGAATCCATCACCGGCAAGGAAAAGGATGTATCAAAAATGCAGGCTATTCAGCTTTTCAAAAACCTGAAATCAGATGATTACTTTTCCTGGCAGCAATCTTTAAGGATCACAGAAATCTGTTAAATGCGCAAATGTTAATGAATACCAAAGCTACAGGTGACTGAAAGAGGTTGCAACTATCTGATGAAAATGAACCCTCAAACCTAAGAACAAATAAACGCTAGTTCCAGCTCCCAGTCCAACATGTTGAAAGACTTGAAGTAGCTCAGTAACCTTCTCAATGGCTTTCACAGATTTGGCATGAAAAACAATACAAATATTGACCTTCGGTGTTTTTCAAACTTTTTGGCTTATCCACAATGAACAGTTTAGCCTCCTCTTGATCCTGTGACAGATCACAGTCATGTTGCAATAATGCGAAATTACCTGTGGCAAAACTCATGGCAGGAAATGTAGACTTAACAGGATGAAAAGCTATCAGAAGAAGAAAGGCTTGGAAACCTTGGAAAGAAAAATTATATTCTTAAGAACAATTTTGTTGAGCTTAAGAACAATTCTGTTGAGCTTTTGTGTGTATGCAAAATAGACCTGAGTGTCACCAAGGAGCTTTTGTATCTCTACCTTTCCACTACTGGCATTAAATAGGTATTGTCTAAGGTGAAAAAAACCCAGACAGTAATAGAAGAGTAGATAAAAAATGAGACAAAATTGTTGAAGTCCAGGAAACCTTTCTTAATGTTAAAGTGCAGTGTATCACATTGTATTCTAAGGGTGAGAAGGAAACCTTACTAAGCCTACATAAAGTAGGCTGTAAAGAACCACGGGGAAGAAGACACATTACTGAAAGAAAATCCAAAGACTCATAAGGTGCAGTGAGAGGAAGGGAGAAGGGCAGGTAACAGAAAATGACAGGCAAGAAATGTTGTGAAGGTGCATGAGCCTGTATCTGCTGGGTTTTTTTCTATTTCTAAGCGCTAAAGCACTATATGATTTTCTTTTAAGTTCATTGGCTGTTTATGCATGCTATAATTAATCTTAACTATGTAATTTATTCTTAGGGTTTTTTTCTGAGTAATAATCTGTGTTGAGAAAGAGGAGCCATTTTTTTCACAGGTCTGCTGTAAAGAAAGTGGTGCAAGGTAAGAGCATTTGTTCAGAGCTGCCACTCTGTGATCGTTAAAAGGCTTTGGTTTCAGAACTGAAGGTGGGCTTGCATTCCAAAAAAAACGTTTCTTTTTTTCAAATGTAAAATTCGTCCTAACAAAAAATATTCTTTCTTCTATATTTTTTTCCTTTTGCATGTTAAGAGCATTGTGGTTACAATAACATTACTATTAGCCCATCTGATCCGACCTCAAAAAATTCTGTAGGTTCAGCTATGTCACCTGTGAGGTAGGATATTTTCTCCTGACTTTGCTATATTATTTGACAGAGATAATGAGAAGGAGTTTTGTATTTGTGCCAGCTGATTCCTCCTGCTGGGTTAATGGGACTGTGCTGATTCAGAAATTGCAGTGAACCGCGTTGCTTTTTCAGAATTTAAATAATTATAAATACCATTTTAAACCTGAAAGGTGTGCAAGTTCATTTTGGTGTTCTTGACAGCAAAAGGCAGGTGGTTGCAGCCTCTGATAGAGAATAGTGAGGAACACTTTAAGGGATTTTCAATTTAGTCCTTTCCTAATCAATGGAATTTTTTTTGTTAGCCTTTGGCCTTTTATGTGTAGCACAAACAATTTCTTCCAGGCTGTATGATTGTGCTCTATTTAGGTGTGTACTAAAAGGAGATGTTCAAATTCATATGCAGATTTGGTATCTGGATTCACATCTTAGATATGCATCACCTTGCTGGGCCTTGAATTGCTGTGGTTTTAATAACCAAGAAGAATAGTGTGGGTGAGTGGGAGAACTTTCATTCAGCTCAGTGGCTTTTGGATGAAGCCCATTTGCACTGTGGCCAGTACTCTTAAGAGCTATCTGTTCCTCCTGTCCTTCTGCACTTCACTAGGCATTTGCAGAGGCTGCTTTTGGAGACAGTATTTATAGATTCAAGAACATTTGATACGACCCCAAAGAGCAGATATTATGATTTGAAGATCACTTTAGGAGCCTGGAACTTGCAGAGTATTATGCTATTGTCAGGCTAGGGGAGCTGAACAGTGGTTTTCTTTTGCAACTATAACAGTTGGTTTAGGGCAGAATAGGTTTCTGCTCTAGGGACTCATTCAATATCCACCTAAGCATCATTAAATAAAATATGTAATGAGCATTGGAAGCAGCGGTCACAGCCTACAACTCTGCTTCCATAGGAATCAAAGCTTCCATAAGCTTTGTCTGTTGCTTCCACTCCCTTCTGCATGAGGTCCAGCTGCAGTGGGGATGGTAAAAATAATTTTACAGTCCTGTAGCCTGGTTTCAAGACTTAGGAGCTCTTGTGAGCCCCAGGTCTTCAACTTCCTGATCATTAGCTTGAGCCACAAAGTTACTGTGCAAGAGGAGATTGCTGTTACCTTCCCCAGTGCTAGGTACTGATATGCAGGAGAGGGATCATCATTCTGATGATTCAGAAGCCAATTATGACATGCTTCTCTTGGTAGGGCTTCCCACTAAGTAGTTCCAGCCCCTCACTCTGCATATCTGACTGAAAATTCACCAGTTTCCTATACAGTCAAAAAAGGAGATGTAGGCATCTCACTATTGTAAATCACATTTTACAACTCTCTATTTACATTGAATACACAGTTATGAAATCATTGCAACCCTTTCCTTACTGTATGCTCAAACATCAAAGATTCTGCCTGTGTTTTAAGAGCCGTCAATTTTCTCTTCATTGCTCTGAAGTAATCAGTGTATTATTCCCTTATTGTAATCTTCCTCAACCAGAAGTATATTACCTGAACTTGCATGAGATTAAGGTAGTAAGTATATTGTGACCTCAATAGTACTAATTAAGATCCATGCTGAACTAGCCTTGTTGTTCTGTTTCTGCTAGCCTGGGGGTTGTCTTTTATGTAAGGAAGGAAAACGAGGCTGAATGGTTTGCTAGTGTCCTGGTTTCAGCCAGGATAGAGTTAATTTTCTTCATAGAAGCTAGTGTGAGGCTGTGTTTTGGATTTGGGATGAGAAAACGTTGATAACGTGCTGATGTTTTGAGTTGTTGCTAAGTACTCAAGGACAGTCCAGCTTCTTGTGCTGGGCTGCCAGCAAGCAGCCTGAGGGTGCACGGGGAGCTGGGAGGGGACACAGCTGGGACAGGTGACCCAGGCTGGCCGAAGAGATATTCCATACCATATGGCATCATGCTCGATATATAAAGCTGGGACGAAGAAGAAGGAAGCGGGGGAAGGGACGTTTGGAGTGATGGCATCTGTCTTCCCAAGAAACGATCACGTGTGATGCAGCCCTGGAGATGGCTGAACTCCTGCCTGCCCGTGGGGAGTACTGAATGAATTCCTTGTTTCACTTTGCTCGTGCGCGCAGCTTTTGCTTTACCTATTAAACTGTTTTTATCTCAAACCATGAGTTTTCTCACTTTTACCCTTCTGATTTTCTCCCCTGTCCCACTGCGGGGGGGTGAGCGAGGGGCTGGGTGGTGCTTAGTTTCTGGTTTGGGTTAAACCACAACAGCTGGAAAAGGAAGCCTGCAGTGGAAACTCCTCCAAGGCCTCAAGGAGCAATAGCTGGACAATTTTTGACAATCCTGTATCTCTGCAGGGTAATGGAAAACAAACCCAACCCATCCTGCCAGTCCCTGTGTAGTTTCTTGTTCATTCAAACACATTTGTACACACAATTTTACTCCCATACAACTCTGATGAATGATCTCTTCCTCTTCTCCTCACTCCCTCTGGTCCCTCTGCTCTCACTACAGAGCTGAAATTTCCATGAAAAAAACCCTCACATGTCGTTCTGTACATGGGTAGTAAGTAGCATAATGACTTCATGCCTGTTTTGGCCCTTTTATGTCCTTCTAAGTGGCTGCCAGGATTCTGTATGCTCCAACCTTGATCCTAACAAGTCCTCATATTACACGATGGATGTTTCACCATGGTGTTAGGTGGTGGACCCAGACTCCTCTCAAACTTGTTCACCATGAGCTAGCTTTAGGTCAAAAGATTTGTAGATTCATTGTGTCATTTCAAGTTTGTTGGTAGAGGAGCATATGGTCCTTGTTGTTGAAGGCTAATTTGTTTGCCTAGAAAAATAGATGTAAAGCTATCTGAAAGAATTGGCTCTCTTTTTTCCAGCTCCTTGTTCACAGCACACACACACATTACAAACTTTTGACATGAGTACTTTTGCATCTGCTGTAGCCTTGTAGTATACTTCTAACCTGCTTGTCCTTCTGCTGCATTCAGAGATACATAGGATGTTGACACATATTTTTGAGTTAGTTTAATTCACGGCAGATTCATGACAGATTCATGATGCTGTTTCAGCATCTGAAGACACATTTTTCTTCCCTTCTACTTGCAGCAGAGTCTGTAATATAGGAACATAAGACTAACACATTGGGTCTAAACAGTCATTCCATCTTGCCCAGTATTCTGTCTCTGCCAATATTTACACTGGATGCTTAAAGCCAGGGCGTAGTAAACATTGAAAAGTATACGGTAAATCCTTAACTGATATATTTACGTGGTATCTGGCCCCAGAGCCTTCCTGAGTTGGAGGTTACATCTAAGCTGTTGTAGATAATATGTACTTAATGGCTCTGGCTTTTAGAAATTCAGCTAATCCCTTTCTAAAACTACTTAAATTTTGGCTTCATAATGTCTGATAGTAAAGCATTAATTAATTTGTTTATAAATAAAAACATTAAAACAAAAAAATGCCCACATTTTCCTGGACTCATTTTGCACCAGCTGCATGGTAAGTTGCTCCTTTGTTCTTGTTCTAGGAGAATTGATAAACCATCATTCCTTATTCACCATCTCCTGTTTGAGATGCTACAAACTTCTGTCAAATCATCTTTTGGTTGTTTATTTTCCAAGCTGAAGAATTCCATAATAATTAGTCTTTCTTCCTGTAGATTCCATTTTTCTGATAATACTTTTGTGCTTTTTCTGTTTCTACAGAGTATTCTACAGTATTCCTTCAGAGATGAGATGACAAGAACTGAA